AAAATGGTGCAGAGCCAACAATATTTCTTTTTCTAAAGCAAGGTCAATAAAAACGAAAAAAGGTTCTGTCCTTATAGACCATGGGGTTTATACTTTATACAGCTAGAAAAAGGGGTCTATAGGGATGAAAGCCTTCCGTCCATATGGACCTTTTACCTTGTATTTGAAATCAATAACTTCAATCTTTATTTTATTCGTAATGTCGCCAACTGTCTTGTGTCTCACTTTGTCCTCTCCCATACTTGGCTGCTACCATCGTTGAGTTGAAGAGTTGCAGCTGCCTCTATGTGTTTTTTTTTTTTTTAAACAGTAAATTGCCTCTATGTATTGCCTATGTTGAAGTGTTTCTTTAAGGTTTTCATCATCAACCATGGTTAGATGCCTGTCCATTGTCTCTTCTCTGTTGGAATCTGTACTAAATTTGATGAGGCTATAGAGTTTTCACCTATTTTAGCCTTGCCTTGGGCAATTTCTAGTTTCTTGGCCTCTAGTTTCTTCGTTATACTATTTCTTTTCTCTTGGAATCAAACTTAGCTTTGAAAGGAGCTATTGTTCAGACAATTGCTTGAACATATCTTCCATACGACTTTCCAAGGTTACAACTTTAGAATTCAATTCAGCGTTCAATACTAGTTTTGAAGTTATCCATGACACTAAGGCCACAGACCTTCATTCTTGATAGTGGAACTCACGTTAGTTTTAATTAGTTGTAATTAGTAGTTTGTTTTTAATGTAATGGACAGTTAACTTGTTTCTATTCATGGTAGTTTCCTTTTGGTTTCAATAGTTTCCTTTATTTCCACGTAAAAGGAATGAAATCTATGTGTGTGTTATGCTCTCCTTTTCTATTTTCCTCTCTTTTCTCCATGAAAGTTTACATGGTACCAAAGCTTTTTTGATCTTGAGGAATTGTGAGGGAGTTATCTAAGAGAACCCCAAAAACACCACCAAACACTTGAGAGTTCTTCCATGGATTCCAGCAACAGTTTCATAGCAAAGTCTCCAATTTTTTCTAGTAAAAATTATGTTGTTTGGGCAATCAAAATAAAGGCTTATCTCAAAGCTTTCATCTTTGGGAAGTGTTGAGACATAATGTGTCTTTCCTCCTTTGCCTGTGGATGCCACTTTGAATCAGATGAGGAGACACTTAGAAGAGTTTGCCAAAAAGTATAGAGCCTTTACTTGTATTGATTCCTCTTGCACAGATGAAATCCTTAGTAGGATTATTACTTGTGAAATAGCAGAGCAAGCTTGGATAGGATTAAGCAAGAATTCCAAGGATATTAAAAGGCAATCCAAATGTAGATTCTCAACAGGAGAAAAGAATGCGAGATGCAAAGGATGTCTGAGACCAAGACTATGAAGGAGTATGCTGATAGAGTCATGAAGATTGTCAACCAAATAAGGTTGAATGGTGAAGAGCTTAGTGATAGAAGTGTTGTTCAGAAAGTGCTTGTTAGTTTTCCTGAGAAATTTGAGCCCAAGATATTCTCCTCAGAGGATTCTAGAGATCTTACCTAAAATCTCATTATCTGAACTTGTTAATGCTCTACAAGTTGTTGAGCAAAGAAAGTTTATAAGACTTGAAAACAAACCTGTTGAAAGTGCTTTGGTAGTCGAAGAAGCTAGTAGATCTCAAGTGATGGATGGTGGAAAGAAGCAAGTCTTTGAAAGAAAAGGTAAGGAGAAAAATGAGTTTCAAGGCAACAATCACAGAGGAAAAAGGGACAGTTTTTTCTATTCTAAGTGCAATAAGAAGGGCTATATTGAGAGTTATTGATGGAGCAGACTTGGTGTGCAATGTAAACTTCGAAAACAGTATGGCCATGTTGACAAAATCTGCAAAAACAAGTCGGTACAGGCTCAATTGGCAAAATATGATGAGCAATAGGAGGAGCAGTTGTTTGTTGCTTCCAAATTGAATGTTGCCATGTTGTTAAGTCTGGATCTTCAGCTTGATTGATTGATAGTCGCTGTACTCACCACATGACTCTGGACATAAATCTTTTCAAGAGCTTAGACTCAAATATGCATCTAGAGTACAGCTTGGAAATGTTGACTATGTTGATGTTAAAGGAAAAGGAACAACAGTTGTACAAACTCCAACAAATACAAAATTATTTTACAATATGTTATATGTATTTGGTTTAAGTCAAAGTTCGTTAAGTGTTGCTTAGTTGCTTGAAAGTGGCTACTTCTTGAACTTTCATGACAAATCGTGTGAAATTAATGATGCTTTTGGTGTTAAGCTTCTATCAGTTATGATGAATGATAGATGTTTTCCAGTAGATTGGAAAGAAACTAAAATTAAAGCTTGTACCAATGTTGTCGTTGATGAAACTAGTTTGTGGCATAACAGGTTAGGCCATTTTAATCATAGCTCCTTGAAAATGATGCATGGCAAGGGAATGACTTGTGATATGCCATTTGTTAAGGACTGCAGTGAGGTGTGTGAAGTTTGTCAGTTAAGGAAATTAAGCCAAGTTCCTTTTCCTACTGATCAAACTAAGAGAGCTATTGAGAAACTTCAATTGGTGCACAATGATTTATGTGGCTCTATGAAAATTTCATCTTTGAATGGAAGCAAGTATTTCTTGCTGTTTATAGATGATTTTAGCATGTATTGTTGGGTTTACTTCTTAGAAACAAAAATCAAAAGTGTTTGACATGTTTAAGATTTTCAAGGTTATGGTTGAAAATCAATGTGGTAAAACCATTAAAGCCTTTAAGGTCAGACAATGGCACTAAATATACCTCACATCAGTTTCAGGATTTTTTACAAAAATATGGAATTCATCACTAGCTCATTGTGCCGTATACACCACAGCAAAATGGTGTCAATGACAGGAAGAATAGATTAGTGATGAACCTGACAAGGTGTTTGTTGCTTGATAAGCATTTACCTAAGAAGTTTTGGGTTGAATCAGTGAATACCTCAGTTTATATTCTCAACAGACTGCCTACTAGGGTAGTTCAAAACAAAGCTCCCTATGAGGCCTGGTTTGATTTCAAGCCTTTTGTTAGCCATCTCAGAAATTTTGGGAGTGTTTGTTATACTCTAGTTCCTACAGCAAAGAGGGACAAGCTTGACCACAGAACTGATATTTGCATTTTTATTGGCTATAGTTCACATTCTAAGGCAAATAGAGTTTTCAATGTTAAAACTTAGAAAACTGAAGTTAGTAGGAGTGTGAAATTTGATGAGAAAGCTATATGGAACTGGGAGAAGTAGGAAGCGATTGAAGGTAGTGATGATTTGGATTTCTTTGTTTTTCCTGAACTTGGTCATAACAACGCAAAACATGTTAATAATGATTTAGTTGATGACCCTCCTGTGAGAGGTACTAGAACTCTTGATGATGTCAACAGGTGGAATTTGGTTGTTTTGGAGCTGTGTGATTACCAAGATGCTGAAAATTCAGAGGCATGGAGAAAAGCTATGTAAGAGGGGATCAACATGATTGTTAGGAATGGTACCTGGGAACTAGTTGATAGACCACAATACAAGTTTGTCCTTGGTGTCTGTTGCCTTATTGCGAAGGAGGAGTGTTGAAGTTAGCCATGACACTGAGGCCACAAACCGTCATTCTTGATAGTGGTACTAACCAGTGGAGTTAATACCGTACCGGCCGGTACGTACCGGTTTTGGTACTTGACTTAAACGGTATAACGTCAATTTTCGTTTCAGTCAAATTTCGAGCATTTCAATCAAAATTCAATGTACCGACTGGAATTTTGGTGTACCGACCGATTCACCGAAATTTCGGTCGGTACACATTGCAAAAAAAAAAAAAAAAAGAATTCCCCTAGCCCAAAACGATGTCGTTTTGGGCTAAGGGCTTTTCATAACCTGCAATACACAGAAGTCCGTACAACTCAATTCAAATTTGAAAGGATAAATTTCATTTTTGATCCTCAACTTTAATGTCATATATAATTTTTATCTTTTAACTTTTTTATGTACTTTTGTAGTCCATTTTTCTTTTTTTTTTTTTTGTCTTTTTATCAATTATTTTGTTAAATTTATCTAAATATACACATTTTTATTCCCTTAATTTAAAGTGGATGGATGAAAAATATATAAATTAAAGTTGAGAGACTAAAAATGATCATTTTAAACTTATTTTTAATTTATAAGAATATCATAGTTTTAAATATTAGTATCTCTTATCTTATTTTAAA